GAAAAATGAGGACCTAATGTCGGGGGGTTTAAGTGGAGAGAAAATGTTTTGAGAATGATGTACAAATGTGCTTTACACAACTGATGTGTGTATGGATTGCGATAACACTTGTATGAGCCCCTAATAAAATGTTAAAAAACAAACAAACTAGATCCATATCGCCTCTGTAGTTGGATATTACTCACATCTAGGGCTATGAATGTAAAGAGGCAATGGACTGGTGGTATATCTGTACCAAGAAATGGATTGAGACCAATAACAATAGTTGGAATTTAAGAATTCTGAAAAACTCAAGACAAAAAATGCCATCAGAGTTTAATCACATTTTAAACAGGAAATGATAAACTAAGTCTTTTTGCATTGTCCTGACAAAGAAATTGCATGTACTATTAGGAAGATTACTCAAGATTTGATTAAGACTCTTTAAGGAGGAATGTGTCTTAAGAGAAAACAAAAACCCTAGGGTAAGTCTTTCCAGCCTCTTCCTGGAAAGTGAGGTCTTTATTCCCAAATATGAGACAACAGAGACATCTAGAGGTTGCTATGATAAGTCATTATTTATTAATGTGTTTTCACTATTTAGAGAGACTAGTTTGAATTATTATATGTAATTCTTCACCTTATATACAGGCAGAATTTTATACAGGTAAAAGTACCTTTTTTCTAAGTACTGATTTTCAAATAGGGAAAATTTACAATATCAATAGAAATTGCCACAAGAGAGTTAGAAGTTAAAGGGAAAAAATGGCAAGATCAAATTAATATTCACACAAACTCACTGCCATCAAGTTGGTTCTGACTCACAGTTGACCCTATGGGGCAGAGTAGAACTGCCCCTTTATGTTTTCTAAGAATTAATCGGTAAAGGAACAGATAGCTGCATCTTTCTCCCTTAGAGCAAATGATGGTTTTAAACTACTGACTTTGTGGTTCAAGATATAAATACTGTTTTTAACAATTAAAGGACGTAAGGACTATAATGAATTTTTAAAAATTTATCAAGCACATTCCAGAGAATAATTACTTTTACTCTGTGTGTGTGTGTGTGTGTGTGTGTGTGTGTGCGCGCAGCAAACAAAGTATGGCTACAGGGAGTAGGTAAGAGATGCTATGAATAAGTTTAGCAAATGATCAAAATGAGACAGGTGAGACTAAATTAAAATGTAACGAAATTCCTCCTCTTTTTTCCTTTCCCCATGAAAAGAGAAGGGATTTAGGACAGGAAGGGAGAAAAATAAGACTAAAGTTATTACATAATTATTTACCTGCGATGGAGCAGCTTTAAAGAAAGTCAGAATCAATTTCCAAGTTAAGAGATACCCGAGAACATAACAGAAGTCCTCACTCAGTGGTTTAATAGTCACTATCTGTCCAACAGAAACACATCCCAGAATATTTTCTAGTAGGTCCTCTTGAGTGCTAAGAAGAGACATCAGCACTGCTGGAGGTGACCTAAAACAAAACAAAAAAAGCAATGGTAAATCAAAACGCCACAAAACTGCTTCACAATTCATCTATAAAAAACAAATAGTATTTATAAACTCAAGCCATTTTAGTAAAACCTATCTCTGTTTAAAAAAGGCCTCCTTTATAGATCCAATTTTCACTATGAATCTCACATAATGACATTTATAGAATTTGAAGATAAGCTACAAAAATAGAGGCTATCCTCCCACCCCCCAGAAGAATTCACTTCAGAGGACAGCAAGCTACAGTTTAGGGAGTGGGGCAAGTCTGATCAGAGCACACAGAAGCAATGAAGAGGAAAGGAGAGAGAGTGGAACACATCCTGGCCCACCAAGCCCAGAGGACGATATTCCTGCTCAGAGTAGCCAATGCACAAGGAGGACCATAGGGCCGGCCCCACCATGAGACAAGACATCTCTCTGACACATATCGCTATGAAGGACAACACTAGAGGCACAGTACAGGAGTTGTGCCAGATGTGACCCCACCACTCTGGGGCAAAACACTAAGGGCATGCAACACAGCAAGGGGATCAAACCAATGAAATCACTGGGAAATACCAAAAACAGACTTTGGGGTCAGGGCGTGGCACCCCATCAGACTCGACTGGAAAACACTCCTAAAGGTCAACAAAGAGACCTGGAACTATTTATAGGATTTTTTTTTGTCGTTGGTTTTTTGTTGTTGTTGCTTTCTTGGTTTTGTTTTCTTTTAGTGTTTGGTTTTGCTCTGCCTTGTTTTTGTGCTTATTACTGTCTCTGCATGTCTATCCAGACAAGATAGGCAGGATAAACAATCCAGAGGAGAAAATGATGGGACCAACAGTTCCAGGGGTCCCTGGGAGAAGGGGAGGCGGGGGCAAGGAAGTGGGTGTTAACAAACCCAGGGACAAGGGAACAAGTGATCTAAAATCGATGGCAAGGAGGCATAGGATGCCTGGGAGGGCTTGATCAAGAGCAATGTAACCGAGAGGAAATACTGAAACCCAAATGAAGGCTGAACATGATAGTGGGACAAGAGAAAAGTAAAGGGAAATGGAAGAAAGAAATAGGAGGCAAAGGGCATTTATAGAGGTCTAAATAAAGGCATGTACATATGTAAATATATTTATATATAATAATAGGGAAATAGATCTATGTCCATATATTTATATGTTAAGTATTGAGGTAGCAGGCATTGGGCCTCTACTCAAGTGCTCCTTCAACACAAGGACACTTTGTTCTAATAACCTGGTATTCTGTGATGCTCACCTTCCCAATACAATCGCTGAAGACAAATAGGTGATAAGCAAATGTGGTGAAGAAAGCTGATGGTACTCAGCTATTTAAAGATATAGCATCTGGGATCTTAAAGGCTTGAAGATAAACAAGCGGTCATCTAGCTGAGAAGCAACAAAGCACATCAGCCTGTGTGATCATGAGGTGTTGATGGGATCAGGTATCAGGCATTAAAGACCCAGAACAAGCAATCATATCAATGTGAATGAGGGGGAGTGTGGAGTGGAGACCCAAAGTCCATCTGTAGACAACTGGACATTCCCTTACAGAAGGGTCACAAGGAAGAGATGAGCCAGTCAGGGTGCAGTATAGCACCGATGAAACATACAACTTTCCTCTAGTTCTTTAAGGGTTCCGCCCTGCCACTATCATGATCCTAATTCTACCTTGCAAATCCGGCTGGACTATAGCATGTACATGGGTACAGATAAGAGCTGGAAACACAGGGAATCCAGGACAGAAAAACCCCTCGGGACCAATAATGAGAGTGGCAATACCAGGAGGGTGGGGGGAAGATAGGGGGATGGGGAGAACTGATCACAATGACCTACAATATAACCCCTTCCCAGGGGGGACACACAGCAGAAAAGTGGGTGAAGGGAGACATCAGTCAGTGTAAGACATGAAAATATAATAATTTATAAATTATCAAGGGTTTGTGAGGGAGGGGAGGGAGGGAGGAAAACAATTAGGAGCTGATACCAAGGGCTCAAGTAGAAAGAAAATGCTTTGAAAATGAGAGCAGCAGATGTACAAATGTGCTTGACACTGGATGGATGGATGGATGGATGGATGGATGGATGGATGGATGGATGGATGGATGGATGGTGGGAGGGAGGGAGGGAGGGAGGAAAGGAGGGATGGTGATAAGAGCTGTATGAGCCCCCAATAAAATGATTTAAAATATAGGCTATAAAAGTTAGCATTTGAAGGAAATATACCTTTAGAAAACATCTATTTAAGCATACTGTTTCAGAGATGAAAAAAATCATACAATTAGAGAGACAAAATGGTAAGTCCAATTGGGTCCCTCAGTTTGGCCAGAGGAATTACTGTAGTTTTTCACTGTCGTTGAGTGGACTCTGGCCAATGGCAACCCCATATGTGAAGGCCAAACTGCGCCACAGGGTTTTCAAGCTGCGACATTTCAGAATCAGATCACCAGGGCTAACTTCCAACGCATGTGCTGGGTGTGGAGCTCGTAGTGGAAATCTTAAATGTCTGGGCTTCTCTGGGGATCCATGCGGGAACTACTTGTTGTTATGTGTCGGTGAATCAATTCCAACTCATAGTGACCCTACAGTGCAGAGTAGAACTGCCCCACGGGTTCCTTAGGCTATAATCTTCACGGCAATGGAGCCCTGACAGCACCTTTCTCCATTGGAGAAGAGGCCTAGCAATCTGTACCTGTAACAATCTCAGCCTCCCAGCGACCCCAAAGGACTGAGGACACCTGTCCCACCACATTTGCAAGGCTGCAATGTTCATAGAAGCAGAATGACCCATCTTTCTCCCATGGAGCAGCTAGTAAGCTCCAGCTGTCTACCTTTTGGGTTTTGGCTAACCACTTAAAAAGAGGGATATTAAATTCTACCACAGCCTTTATTATTTTGCAAACGAAGAAAAGGACTTTAAATTCTGTTACTTTATCCTAGTTTCTAAATTATTTCAGTTTACTTAGCAATATACAGTAACCAGATGTCAGAATCCTCACAATTACTCAGAATGAACATACACAGAAAAGCATTACGTGCTTTTGATCATAGACTATTTATAAAATCATTAATTTGAGATAATGTAAGTGAATTTTGTTTATTAAACTACTATATTAATTATAGGCTAACCATTGGGCTGCTAACCTCAAAGTCATCAGCAGTTCGAATCCACCAACCTCCCTGGAAGAAAGTTGAGGCTGTCTTGCCACCATAAAGACTGACTCTCAGAAACACTAAAGCGCTATTCCACTGTCTTATATAGTCACTAATAATTGAAATCAACTCAATGGCAATGAGTTCAGGCTTCTGTGTACTCACTGCCAGTTGAATTTATGAAAATTTCAAAAGGTATACCTTTTGTATATGCCCTTTCAATGCAAACTGACACTATGATTCACGTAGAACACTCATTAAAAATTAATGTTAAAAAAATTAATTTGTTAACTTCCTAGCCAAAAACATTTTAATGATCATTCACATCCAAGCATAAATCAATGCAAATACTTCTTCAATCCAATACCAAGCATCTTCACTTATCGTCCATCTCAGTTTCTTTGTCAACCCTCTGTGGATGCTGCCTAGAGCCACTTCTCAGGAAACGTACTCAGCCACACTACATCCTTCCAGTCTGTTAGTAACTGAGATAGTCTAATGTGCCAGCCTGGCCAATAAACACAAGTGGGATTAACTGTAGGGCAAAGAGATAAATGGCTTGGTGAGCCTCGTCTTTCTTGTCTCTCGCT